CCCCAGAGCCAGAATCGGGCGTCATGCTGTCTGGGCACTAGGGCCCTCACGGGCGCCGCAGCCACCCGTGCCCCTTCGAACTTCGCCAACTGCAATTGCTGCTGTCCACTTTTACCTACTCACCTCTCTCCTTCTTCTCCTCCTCAGTTGTTCTATGACACTTGAGTGCGATTCATCACCGCCGCATTTCTTTACATCCTTAAAGTCTTCGACAGTTCACCGTTTTTAGTTTCCTGCAGAAACGAGCCTGCATTTGATCTTCTGAGCTCCAGTCTTGTCATCATCACTTGTCACGCGCTTCTCTCACTTTTGTAGAACATCATCACCGCCGTCCATAGCCAAGTGAAGAAGTGACTTGAATGTCATCTGCCATCAGCAGTAACTTACAGATTTGTTTGTTTACTGGTGTCTTTGTCCAGGCTCTAATGAGCACTGCTTGGCACGATGGACATCTTCGAAGATACCGAGCCGTACTACGCGCTGGAGCAGCTGCGGCACCACGAAGTGTCGCCCCTTATGGTAGCAAATCTGTTATTCAGATTTTGTGAGCCAAAGCTACATGGCGTCAGTGATGATAACTTGGCGACACTTGCCAATATTACCATCGAAAAGCTTTCCTGTGATTCCCCACTCACAGAGGTGTTACGCTCACTGGATTGTGTCGAATTCAATAAGAAAATATTCAAAAATTTGCAGTTTGATTACGATCGATTCTTTCACTTTTGCCGACTTCTCTGCTCCAGAGATAAACAGGGTAATGTTTTTTATTTGAGCTGTTTGCTTTTAATCTAATGACATGTCATTTCTCCTTTAGGTTTCGACATTATTGGAATCGCCTTCTTTTCTAAACCATGGAAAAACAATGCCTACTTTCAACTAGAGTTCATCAAATTTTGCATTCAAAGCAATAATCTCGGTGTAGTACTACTGAGTTGTAAGAACCAAACTCAACTGAACAAGTTAGTGCCTCAGGTCGATCTGTTGAAATGTCAGCCAGACGATGGAGACATGCAGCTGCTTCCTTGGAAGTTTCAGTGTCTATTTCAGATTCTAGTAGACCTGTCTGAGACACAGATTCTCAACCAAATGGTAGAGGAGATCTTTTTCTTTCCATTGAACAAGTGTCCCGATTTGCTGATTCTCGGTCTACTCGAATGCACCGGCAATAATACTCGACTGAAGGAAGTTGTGCTAATCAAAGCAATACTAAAGTTTCTCTACCCGACGTCTGCTCACCCGAACTCAACTCAGATCTTCCAACGCATTTGGCCAAATGACTTTAATCACACCCACGTCAATTCACTCACCTGGTCACAAAGACTACTTCTGACATCGATGATTGAGCTCTACAGTTCTTCAACTCCTGAAGAACAGCAGCAAAAACTGTCTCGCATTTTAGATTTGTCCCAGGACTTGAAAGCGCTCAACCTTCTTCTTTCAAGCAACTCGTACCTGTTTGTTATTGATCTTGCCTGCCTTGCCTCACGCCGTGAATATCTCAAACTTGACAAATGGCTGAATGATAAAATCCAAACAAATGGTCAACCTTTCATCGAAGTTTGTGTCACTTTTCTAAAACGCCGTTGTCCTGCGTTTGGCCCAAATGAGAGCAGTAGTATGACTTTTCCCAATGAGACCTTCACTACCATTCTAAACTGTCTCCGTCAACACATTTCTGATAATCCAAAAACGCTTGCTGAATTAGAACTGGTAAAAATGTTGGCGAAATACTCACAGACGCTTCCTGATGTTGAAAACGAATTCAGCAAGGAAGTAGAAGAAGAGGCTGATTCATATTTGCGAAAAATTTACAATCAAGATTTGCCTGATTCTATGTCCATTGACCAAGTGCTGGATATGCTGAAAAAATTTCAGGAATCTCCCAACAAGCGTGAAAAAGAAGTGTTTGCTTGTATGA